CCCCAACCATAAAATTATTTTCGTTGCTACTTCATCACAGTAATTTTATTACTGTTGTGAATTGGGCAACGCCTGTGAAAGGGTCGCTCGATCCCCAAGGGGTCGCGGCCCACAGGTTGGTCCTAGGCCCCTCAGGCGCACAGTGCGTGCTCCCTCCAGCCTTTCCTTTACTGGCAGTGAGGTCCCGGGGTCCTCTCTCTGTGCCGTGGGAGGGCTCCATGTTAGGGTGTCGAACATCTCGTTTGCAGGGTTTCACCACCACAAGGGTGCCACACTCCTCGATTGTATGATTAGCAAGCTATCCAATCCTCTTGGTAGTCCACGGGCACTTTATTTGCATGATCCCACTCAACCATTCGGTGGGGATTTTCAAGACAGTGGCTAGAAAGGCCAAATTCAAGGAATCCATCCTAGCCCACATGGTAAGAAGGCATTTCAGGAACACACCTGGACAGGCTTGGTGGGGACCTGTAGCTGCTTAGCGGTGCTGGGCTGAGGGTGCTGATGTGTTGGGTGGGAGAGAGGCAGGGGATGAAGGCGCCTAGGGACCCAGGCAGGTCTCACATCATGAAGACCCAAGGAAGTTCGTTTGGGTCAGAGTGCAGATGTATTTGCAATAGGTGGTCACAAGCAGAGATCATGTAGGAGCGGAGCGATGGCTGTGGTGGCATGAGGAGAGGATCTAGTGACCTTACTTAGAGGCCTTGGGATCTGACCAGATGAGAGATGGGTAAGGATCCCTGAAGTGAGGCTGGCCAGGAGGGCAGTGGGCAGACCTGAGCAGCGTGGAGCTGGGGGAGGGGGCAGTGCAGCGCAGACCCTTTGCCGCCTGAATTCCATTGGGCTATGTATTAGCCCAAGAAAACACCGGGGAATTCTCACTTTAGGGATGTTTCACTTTCTCCCCTCTGCTTCTCCTCTTACACCTTGTGTTTTCAAAGCGGGGGCCCATGAAACTTCCCGAGTACCTTTATGAGAGGACCGCCTGTGCCAAGTCTCTCTGGTCTGACACCCCTCTCTGTTCCAGGGCAGCTGGCCCCACCCACCTCTGGGCCTTTGACGATGAAGTACACAGATTGCTGGGCTCCGGAACCAGCTGCCTACTCACCCACCACCTAAATGTGGCCCTGGGTTTTCCTGTCTCAGAAACCCAATGAGAGGCTTGGGCCGATGACCTGAAATGCCCTAGTTAACCCCGCTAGGTTTCTTGTCTAGACTTCCCACTCAGATCAAATAAACCAGGCTGCAACCAGCTCATTCCTTGTTCAGAAATTTACCTTTCTACCTGAAGTCAGAACCTTCCTTATTCAAGCAAGACCTCCCCAGGTGACTCGCATGTGTATAAACATCCGCCACCGAGTGTGGTTCCTTGTGTCCTCGGGACCAGTCCTCGCTCAGCTGGCGATGCTTGTAGATCTGAGTTCCCCTGAAGGTTTTCCCTACTCCTGCACAGACTACACATGGGCCTGGGAAAGAATGAATCTCAGCTTCTCCCGGTGCCGAGAACAAAGCAGGCAGGCGGTGAAGTTCTCCTTCCTGGCTTTCCCAGCAGGCACTGCTGTTGGGTTGGAAAACCTCCTGCTCTGTTCATATTTATCAGTTAGGTGTGCTGGTGTGAAGTCGGTATGTGGGGGCCTGCACAGCCAGTGTGCGCCCATGTGCTTGTGAAACGGAGCCTCGGGGATCCCGCAGCAGAGCCCTTGTGCCGTGTCCCTGGCCCAGAGAGAGGCACCTCGCTCACGATCCCCGTTTACCTGCAACTCTCCCAGCTGGCCTCAGTCACAACGGGCACCCCGTTTTATAGTGGGACATTCTCTCGGGGACATTCTCCGAAACCAGTGAGCCCCGACTACACGTTAGAAACATGCAGGGAGCTTTGAAAACAGCCGCTGCTGCCCTCGCTCCACCCCTAGACTAATTAAATCAGAACCTCTAGGGCGCAGAGTCGAGGTATAAGTATTTTTTAAAAAGCTCCCAGGTGATCCTGGTGTGCAGCTCGAGTCCCACTGCTGCAGATGGCTCCCGAGAGTCTCCTGATCTCCCGGTGGAGGGGAGGGTGTCTCTCTCCTGTCTTCCATACTCCGTCTTCTGCCACCTCGAGAGGGTCCCGGTAGTGCCTGCCTTTGAACTTAGACACCGAATCAGAGGCCAAGCTAAAAGTCAAACTGTGAGGGAAGAAGTGTGAGATCTTTTAACAGGTCACTGTTATGCCGAGCCCCTCATGTTGGCACGGATAAGCCTCCTGTCTTTCCTTTGTTCTAATCAGTGAATGTTGGCTGGTAAACCATGTGGGGGCAATCACTGCCTCCCTTCCCGAGGTTTCTGAGTACAGGGTAGAATTAAAGGTTAAGCACACAGGCAGCCCCCGTGGCATACTAAAGTCACCAGGAACCATGCTTAGACCATACTTGGGCATATTGTCAGGACCGCACGTTTGGTAAAGTGGAGGGGCGGTGAAGAAGAGGATGGCCCTTGGTGAGATGGATTGATACCATGGCTCCATCAAGGGCTCGGGCATAGGGGATGATGGTGAGGGTGGCGTAGGACTACGTAGGGGTCCGTTCTGTTGTGCCACTGTGGCACCTGCCAGCCACCTACTTAGTGATGCACCTGTTGTCATTTTCCTTTGTGTGCAATTCACTGTTAGTAATATGTAGGGTGGTACGGGTTACTGTGTGTACCACATAGTGTGCGGCATGCATGTGTGTGTGCGTACTACATACAGTGGTGCGTAGGTGGTTGGTATGCCATTGTGTCCCCATTCTCAGATGCAATGTTTCTAGCCCCCTAAGACAGAAGGTTGGATTTATAGATACTGACAAGAAAGTCCATATCAACTCCCGATGGCGCCGTTGTGGAGTGGGCAGCAAGCTCGGGACCAGGGCAGAGCTGGAGCCGCGCAGTTACATCTGTGAGAGGCCCACCCCTATCCGTGTTAGCAATATTGTTCACCCCTTGGCTTTAGAAGTTTTAAATTTCATTAAATAATATCTGTAACCAGAACATTGCCATTTTAGCCCCTTGTCAGTGTATAATTCAGGGACAGTAAGTTACTGACAGCATGCTGTGCCGTCATCTCAGTAGTTCTGTAGGACCCCAAACAGAAAGTCCCCACCCCATCCCCAGTAACTGTCCCCGCCTCCTACTCCCTGGTAAACCAAAACCACAGCCCACTGCCGTCGAGTTGCCGCAGAGGGTAGAACTAACTGCCCCTGTGAATATCGGGACTGTAACTACAGGAATAGAGAGCTTCAAACAGTGGACCTTGCCGATCACGGGCCAACTGGCAGCCACTGGGGGAGCCACCAGTAACAGCCCCACTCCCTGGCTTATTCTAGTTATACCATATAAGTGGCACCGTATGATAGTTGCCCCTTTGCACCCTACACCTCACTGAGCAATTAAAAAAAAGCTTTACTGTGCGTTAGTTGAGGCTTTACATATCAGTTATCATTTTCAGATTCAACAGTTTAAACAAACTTTTCACCTCCCCACTAGCTTCCCTATATCCCACCGCTGCTGCTGTTCCCCAACCTCCCTCTTCTAGGATCGTTTTTCTCTTCTAGGATATTTATTTCCAACAGTTTTATTGCCATACAATTCTTGTACCACACAATCAATTTAAGTATTTTCTTCATTCAGAATGGCTCAAAGGGGGAACAAAAGACAAAAGATGTTGCGCTAACTCTTTGCATCGCCTCACTTTCTGACACACGGAGCCTGAGGGCAAGGCTATTTACATCCTTGGTCAGTGGTCCTGGGAGGCTGGGGATCCTGCAGCTCCAGGTTGGGCAGCTGCTGTCATCCGTACCCTCGCACTGTTTTCAAGGTGCATCATCTGGGCCTGGCTCCCTTTATGACCCAGTGCGTTCTGTTGCATGTGTGGCCGGGCTGGAAAAGCTCGTGGAAAAGTGGGGTGAAAAAAAGTCATGGAATTTCCCCACCAATCTCATACTGTGCACATTTTGTTCATCCATTCACCTGTTGATGGACACCTGGATAATTTCTACCTTTAGCTCCTGTGAGAAATGTTGCTGGGATGACCGATACCGGATACCTGTCGTTTGCCTCAGGTCTCTCGGGTAGATGGTCACACTCCCTGGCCTGGCTTTTGAAAAGCCACATTTAGAATCCAGCTTGGACTTTCCAGCCCCGTGGGGTTGGGTGGGGAGATGGGGCCAGGACGAAAGAGGATGTCTGCCCTCTGGTCCTGCTTGTGGCCAAAGCTCAGCAGGCGCGAGCACCTTGGTAAAAGAGGCCTTGTCTTCCGCGGTGGGCGGCATGCCACGTTGCCTGCGCGGGGCCTGTGTGGAGGCTGTGCCGGGGACCCCTCTCCTTCCGCCCGCCCGTCACCCTGTGTGTGCTCTGCAGGAAGGAGGAGACAGTGACCGTCTACCCCGCGGACGTCGTGCTCTTCGAGGGCATCCTGGCTTTCTACTCCCAGGAGGTGCGGGACCTGTTCCAGATGAAGCTCTTTGTGGACACGGACGCGGACACCCGGCTCTCCCGCAGAGGTGCGTGCAAGCCTCAGGCCGCCCTGCTGGCAGCCCTGGGGCTAGGGGAGCAGACACTTCTCACCCCAGCCCCACACCCGCTGCCCGGCCCAGCCCTAGCCGCGGCAGTGCTTCCCAGGATGTCCTGCTGCCCAGATGCCTGGTGACATTTGCGAAGGGATTAGTCACGTCACCCTTTTGGATAACAAGAGGCGTGTGAGGTCAGCGAGATGAAATGAGAGGCTGACATTCTGGTCTCCCCGGAGGAAAGTTCGATGGTCATCTTGGGTTCCTTAGGAGGATTTTTCCACAGAGGCTGCAGGATCCAGACAGGAAGTCAGTGATAGGACCTCTGGGGCAAGAGCGCCCTGTGCCTAGGGTGCTGGGCAGCTGCTCTCTCGCCTGCTTCTCTGGGCCTCTGTTATCCAGAATGCTTTCTGGAAGTTCTGTCATTCTGTCCAGCCAGCTCGGTATTTCCCTGTGCAGGCCTTGTTCCACACGGGCCTGTTTGAGACCCCGGCCGGGCGCAGAGGTGATGCAGAGGTGCCTGTGGGTGGGAGCTGCACCCGGCAAGTAACTGGAGGTTACTGAGCAGAGAGCTTATTCTATCAGGAGAGGTGAGGGGGCTTCACAGAGGAAGCTGGGTTGATTCTGAGACTGGGAAGGGGGTTGACCAAGCTCACAGGTGATGAAGACGGCAGTGGGTGCCTAGAGCTTCTAGGACAGCGGTTCTCAGCCTGTGGGTCACGACCCCTCTGGGGGTTGAACGACCCTTTCACAGGGGTCGCCCGATTCATAACAGTAGCAAAGTGACAGTGATGAAGTAGCAACGAAAATAATTTTGTTTGGGGGGGTCACCACAACATGCAGAAACTGTATTAAAGGGTCGCAACAGGAGGGTTGAGACCACTGTTCTGGGGCTTGGTGGGCAGTCGAAGATGTCTGAGTTCTTGGTAGATAGTCTGTGCTATTGGGGTTGTGACCCCAAAAGTGGCCACTGTGCTCTGCTGTCAGATGAGTGTCACAGGAAACTCAGGTGCAGGCTGCGCTCGGGTTGGAGGCTGCAGATGGTGAGCAAAGAGGCGGGGAGAGAGGAGAGGTATTGGCAGGGGCGTTGAGGAGTGGGGGCCACTGGCAGAAGGGAGGAATGACAAGCCGACTGGGTTGTGAGTCTACATCCTAGGGGCGAGGGAGGGAGACAACTCGGAAATGATAGCGCTGGCTCAATCCAGTGACTCGGGTCTGATTCACAGTATGTGAGTCTGTGAGCCTCCTCGCTCCGTGAGTCGTTTCCCGTGTCTTTCCTGTCATTCTGAGAACTCCATCGACTGTAAACACGTTCAACACAACAACCCACTGCCGGCCAGCTCGTCGTGACCCACGGGACACAGTGGAATTGCCCCAGAGGGCTTCAGGGCCCAACAGGACACCACCACACCTTTCTTTCTCTGGAGCAGAGAATGGGTTCTGACCCCCGACCTTTCAGTGCACAGCACCATCCATTGCCCAGAATGGGAATTCGGAGTCCGATACTCCAGGCTCAAGGAGGAGCCCTGGTGGTGCAGCGGGTCACACACCCACAAGGTCCACAGGGGGCAGGCAGCAGTGGGAAGCTGGCTGCTCCCTCGAAAATGTACAGCCTTGGACACCCAGAGGGGCAGGTCTACTCTGTCCTTACAGGGTCGCAGTGAGCCAGTATCAACTGGATGGCAGCTGGGGCATTCTGGTTTCAGTTGGCTCGGTGATAGCGTGGTACATTGCCCAAACCACCAGCCAACGGACAGCTCCGAACAGACTGCTGGAGTCAGGTGGCGAGGAGTTACCTCTGCTTCATGACCTGCTAATTGGTTGTTGGCAGTTAGAGGCTATCGACATGCTCTCTCACTTCATAGCGGAGCCCCCACCCCCCACCCCCTCCCCCCTCCCGGTGACAGTAGAACTGCCCCATAGGGTTTTCTGGGCTGTAACTGAAAACAGTTGAATCGCCAGGCCTTTTCTCTCCCAGAACCAACAGCTGGGATCGGTTTGAACCAATCACCTTTTGATTAGCACTTGACTGTTGTGTCACCAGGGCTTCCTTTTTAGCTCGTTAGAGAATAATGATGCTAGAAGATGATCCATGATTCGTTTCTCTGGGAGAGTGGTGAAAGTCAGGTGGGTAAAATGCGTGACAGTGTGGTAGCAGTCTGATAGTTGTCATCAGTTTTACTAGGAGCGTCATAGGTACTTAGGGGCAGAAGTCTGTTTTCATTGAGGTGGGTGCTGTTTTCCAGTCAGGGCTTTGAGCAGTTCTGGTCTTGCCATGTTGCCATGATAACTCGGGGTTGCTAATTACTTGTCCAGCCGGTGGTACCAAAGTCCAAGGGAGCCGTGCAGGAACGGAGACAAGATGCTGCCCAGGAAACCATATTCAAGTTTGAGTGTAGTGCAAGAGAGCTCCAAAGCAGTGGATAAATGGAATAGAAAGGTACAGGTGTTCTCCCTCCCACTACCTTTTTGAGACCTTCTCCTATTTAGAAATAAACCCAACTTTGGGTTATAATTTAAGTAGACAATCACCGTGAAGGTTAAACTGAAAATCCTTTCTGGGGGACTGGGGGAGATACCCGAGGTGATCCGTGGCCTTCTTGGGGCAGGGGAGGGCTCTTTTTAAGTAGTTTTACTGATATATAATCCTCATCATGCTATTCAATCTTGGGGGGACAAAACCCAACCCCAAACGCATTTGCATTGAGTTGATGTTGACTCACAGCCAGCCTCCCAGGGGACTCGTAGGCTCGATTCTGCACCCCCTGCCTGGATTGTGGGTGCTGCTTGCTCTTATCTGCCTTCACATGCCACCCACCGGGAAGTCGCTTTCCCAGCGGATGCTGGAACGTTTCCAAGTGTTTCTATAAACTCTTTCTCCTTGCCACAGAGGACAGGAAGCACACATAGCGTGTGCCCTGTGGGGTGGCGGCGGCGGCAGAGGGTGAGGGCATGAGGTGGGCTAGTCAGGTGCAGCTGTTGCGCATGAGGACAGGCCATGCGTTCTCTCCTCTCCTGGGCGCATGAAACCCAGCCAAGCGGAGGCTCAGGTGGGAGAGCCTTGCCTTGGAGTGGGCAGCCTGGACCAACTCCCCCTGCCCAGCGGGCCCCCCTGTGCTTAGCAGCACGTGACTTCACCTTCCCTCCGTGTGCTCTTGGCGCTGGCCCACGCTTGACTACAGAGCCAGGGGAGGTCCTGGGGCCTGGGGGTTTAGAGCTACTCACACCTGGTCCCGCAGCCTTCATTCTGTATGCCTAGTTCACATAAAGGGGGCCCTCTTGGTGTCGCGGTTACGTGTTGGGCTGCAATCCGCATAGTTGGCAGTTTGAAACCAGCAGGACAAAGTCTGGGCTTTCTACACCTGTGAACAGTTAGTCTCAACCCTCCGGGGCCATTCCATCCTGTCCCATAGGGTCATTATGAGTGGGACTCGACTCCACAGCAGCAGGTTACCAGTGTTTGGAGTTCCCACAACAGCCCTGGTGGCGCGGTGGGTTAGCCTTTGAGCTGTCTGCTCCCGCAGAAACCTCCCGGGCCAGTTCAGATCTGCCCTAAAGGGTTGTCAGGAATCACCGTCCCGATGGCAGCAAGCTTGAGCTTGTAAGACTCCGCACTGCAGTGGGCTTTCAGGGATATCCCGTCTGCATGTTGACTGCAGAATAGCATGCGTCCTTGCCTCGTTGTCTCAACTGACTTAACCCGTTAGGAATTCTCTTCTAAATTTGTTTTCTTGACTGGCTAACCAGACAAGGCAGGGCTGGATTTGGGGGGCTAAGATGGGAGGTCAACCCCATCCTCTGGGGGGCCAATGCAAGCCAGGCAGTTGTGCTGGTATGCATTTGATGGGGGGCAGCTGACTTCAGGTCCCTGGAATGTCCAGTCTATGCCAAGACCTTGTTCTGACTCAGTCTTGTTTCCTGATGGGGCCTGGGGAGCAGGTGATTTTGTGACGGGGACAGGCTGCCTGCATTGACCTTGGCTCACAGAGGAATCCGATCTATTTAAGGTGGTAACTACTGAAGGCTCCTGGGGACAGACATGAGCCATGTTTTTTTTCCCCCTAATCTTAATTATACACATATTCTTTTTCTACTTTTTTGTGGTGGTTGTTGAGAACATAACACTCCAAGACACACTGACTCAACATTTTCTATGTGTGTTCCGTTCATTCACGACCTCCTGAGGTCCCTGTCTAATCATTGGAAGCGCTGTTGTCCATTTACCCCTATAGATGGCCAGTTTGAACACACACACACACACACACACACACACACACACACACACACACTATCCCCTTCCTACTCCCATAAAGTGTTACAGTCTTGAAACCCTTACAGGCGGTTCCAGCCTGTGCTATAAGGTTGCTAAGAGGTGGCATGGACTGAGTGGAGGTGAACACTAGGGGCACACGCTCCAATCATATGGCAGTGAGGGGTGAACACTAGGGCACACGCTCCAATCATATGGCAGTGAGGGGTGAACACTAGGGCACACGCT